CTTGTATGCAGGAATAAATAAATCTTTAAAAAAATTATGTGAAAGCACCCTGTGGATGATGGGGTACAGTTTTGACATTAAAACAAGCCAGTGCTTCAAATATTTAATTAAAGATGAGATGAAAACAGCAGATGCAAAGTCGCTCTGATGGCAATGTGCTCTAAGCCTCAACCTCAGGTCTGAGAGTGTGTCAGGGCAGAGGGTCATCTTCGAAGCAAAATATGGTTGCAGATGAATTAGAGAAAGATGCAAGTCAGAGTCGGTTTTTAGTTACTTTTTAAAATACAAATGATTTATTTTCAGGATCTGGGAAGGTAATCCCTTTCTAATGTTAAATAGTGAGGAGAAATCTGGAAGTTTGCTTGGTCCTCCCTTTCTAAGAAAGGGTGTTTATTAGCTAGGTTGGCAATGAAAAATTTAATACTAGTTTATAGCAGGGGACTGTCATTGATTTCATCGATTTCATCTGGATCTGTAGCTCTTGTTTCTCTCATGGATAAGCTGTAGTGTTGTGAGTCTAATCCTCATTTGCTCTTTATTATTATACCATCTTCTTATGAATTATAACTGTATTTCTACACAATAGGGTCTAGTTGCTTTAAAGGTTTTTTTCTTTTGTATATGGTAAATTAAGTCTTAGTGGAAATGAAGAACTGCTAATTTAACAATTTGCACTGTAGGGCCTCCCTGGTGGCGCAAGGGGTTAAGCACAGCACTGTGAACCTATCCACAGCCACTGCAGCACAAGTTCGATTCAGTTCTTGTATGCACAAATAAATAAATCTTTATTTAAAAAAAAAAACAAAAAAATTTGCACTGTAGTCCTGTTTCCTGGCAAAGTCCTGGCAATTCAAAAAAGGAAAGAAAGAGAGTCTACTTCATGAACAGAAATCAAAATCTCCTTTTCTTTTTTTTCAGCAATTGTCCCCAAGAAACAAACCCACTAACCGCTGTCAAGTCTGATTCCTCTTTCTTCTTACAGCCTTCCTGCTCCTCCAGGATGTCTCCCTAAGCTGACTTCTCATCTGTTCTGTTCACTTCCATAATAATTTAGTTATGGATCAGGAGAACTGAGAAGGTGTTTCCCACATTATCCTATTTTTAAAAAGAAGATTAATTTATTTATGCATACAAGAACTGGGGTGTAGGCCAGAGGTGTGGTGGGGGGGGGCGGGGGGATTGAAAGGATTCACCAGAGACACAGTGGGGAGCAGTGGGTGACTCTGGAGAGGTTTGCTGGGCCATGTGGGTTCCCTCCCTGGACTGGGGTAGAACTCAAGCTCAGTGGCTGGTTGCTTTATAGTGTTGTGTCCTTAACCCCTGGGCCAAAAGGGAGTCCCCACTATTATTATCCTTTAAAAAAAATCTTTTTAGATTGCTAGTGGGTGGGGCCAACCAAGAAGGAGACAGTGGGTCTGGCCCATTCCTTTTCTGACCTTCTGAGTCCATGTTCCTTTCTGGCAATTCTCTTCCCCATTTGTTTTCTTCTTGTTTTTGCTTTTAATAAAAAGAATTAAAAACACTCAAAGAAATGAAACCAGAAAAATACATACACCCCTCTGGAGCAAGGCCAGCATGACAGAAAATTCTATAGGTGTGTGCAGATTCATATGTGAGCACGTACACATTTAACATGCCCATTTCAAATTATGGAAGAAATTCACTGCATTGGCGATAGATGATGGTAGCATGAGAAGAGCCTCTGTAAAGCACAGAAAGTTCTCTTCCATTTGGCAGAGGAGCTCTGCTTTCATTTTGAGAAGAGTTTCCACACTCTTATTTTAGTGAATGTTTCCTGAGATTGGATGCCTTCCAGGAGCTGAGAACACACCTGAGGGCAGCCCTGCACCTGGTTCTGCATCTTCCGAAAGGGGCTGCCAGGCTCTTTGGGGGACTGGAAAGCTTTTTCCATCTCAGAGCAGCTCCTGCACCCCACAATGGCTTTATTCTCTACAGGAGGTGTTTCCAGTCTGAAGCATTCAGGATCTTTGTCCAGCTTGGTGGATTTCAGAGCTCTTTCCAGGATGATCTTCTCCTAGAAAAATCCCCTGAATTCTGGTGAGCCAAAAACCACAGGAGTTGGGGATGTTTATGTTGTGGTTGTCTCCCCACCCCAATCTTTATGATCCAGGAGTAGTTATTCAGGTTGGACTCCAAGTTATTTTTTTCTTTTCAAAAAAGATTTATTTATTTATGCATACAAGAACTGGGGTACAGGCCAGAGGTGTGGTGGGGGATGAGAGGATTCACCAGAGACAGAGTGGGGAGCAGAACAGGCGGATTAAATGAAATACACTAAGGGGAGCAGAGAGGGTGTCAGGAGAGGTCTGCTGTGCCATGTGGGTTGCTTCCTGGCCAGCGGAGAATCAAACCCATGCTGCAGAGGCTGCAGCTTGCTTCTTAGTGCTGTGCTTAACACCTTATGCCACCAGGGAGGCCCAGTTTTTTTTTTCTTTTATTGAAGTATTATTTACAAACTGAAATTTTGCGCAGGTCTTACACGGCACATTTACAAGTTTTGAGACATACATACAGCGATATATTTCCATTTCGTTACCCCACAATGTTCCTTTGTTATAGGACAGGGAGAGGGGTAGCCCAAGCCCCGCAAACCCTGGAACCTCCCCCTTTCCTGGGGACCACCCTGTTACACCTTCAAGCCCCTTTCTAGACAATTCCCCTTCATTCCCAAGGGTACTTTTCCTGTCCCCACAGTTTAGTTCTGCCTGTTCTAGAATTTCCTCTAAATGCAATGCATGGTATGAATGCTTGTTTTTGGCGTCTTTCTAACATGACGTTTTTGGGATTCATCTAGGTTGCTGCCTGCACAAATAGGCCATGTGAGTTTAAATAGGACCCAAGAGGTCACGAACAGCCTGACAGTGTTAAGACAAGGACCATTGTCCACCGGTGGGCCTCCAGACCAGATACTCCCTCAATCCTGGTATGTGGCCCTCTCAGCTCTTCCAAACCAGCCTCTTTCCAAGGCCAAGCAAGTTCCTTTTCCAGAGCCACCCAGGCAGCCTCGGGCACCACCCAGATGGCCTGGGGCCGTCACCAGAACAGCTGCCCTGTGCTACCCTCCCCCATGAGAACTCAAAAGGGAACTGGCCCCTCTGCAGATCAGAATTCAGATTCGTTTAATTCCAGGTATCCAACGGCACACAACTGTGCGCTGTTTTGGTGATCACAGACAAGTGAAGTCCTCAAGCAAACGTAAACAGCAAAAACCAGAAGAGGTGCGTGTGTGTTGGGGGGGGGGATCGGGGGGAGGGAACCCAGATCTCACGCGCAGTGGCTACCAGCCTCCGTGGAATCAGGATTCAGAATGAAATCTTTTTTTTCCTTTTTAAATAAACGGAAGAGTCGCTCTCCGCTCCTCGCTCCGAAGGTTTCAAAGGTCGTCACACTGCAGCCCGGGGGCGTTCATCTCCCGAGCGGCCCGCAGAGGGGCGGAGGTTGGAGGGCGGAGGGAGGGAGCACACAAAAGCTCGCAGAGCCGAGAGAGGGCTAATGTTTCCTGTTTGCCTGGAACCCCCTCCCCTGTGTCCCCTCCCCCAACCCCCTCCCAGCACTCGGGCGGAAGTGAGTTTGCTCCTTTGGAGATTAAAAGGATTCCGAATTCCGATCAGTCCCAATAACCGGCGTACCGAGGAGAGGGGGAGCCGGAGAAGAAGGAAGAGGCGGCAAAGCAGAGAAAGGGGTGCGCGCGCGCGCGCGCACACACGCCCGCAGCCCGAAGTGGGGGAGTTGTGCAAAGCCCCAGGAGGCCAGGGGCGCACGGCGCGAGCCAAAAGCCCGGTAGGCGCAGCTCGGCGACTCGTTTCTGAAAGAAGATGACGCGGGCGCGGGCCGGCGGCGTTGGCCACGCGGCTCCCGAGCTCCCCGCGCCGGGCCGTTGCCGGCTCCACTGATTCCAGCGCGCCCGGGAGGAGGCTCCGTCCCCGCGACTCGGGATCGGAGGGGGGACCAAGGCGAGGGCGAAATGGCCCGATGACAAAGGAAATGTGATCCCCCTTCGCTGCCAAGGTTTCAGAGAGGACGGACGTGAGGAGGAGGGGCGCGGGGCGCGCGCGGAGCTCGGATAGCATTGCACGACGGCTCGCGCGGAGCGGGCAGCGGGTACATCCAATATCTTCCTGCGGATGAATAATTCAGGACGGCCCGCGGGGACCTGCGGCCCCGCGCTGCTGCAGCGCCGCTGAACCGGAGGGGAAGGAGCGCGCGGGAGGCGCCCAGGCGGGGCCGGGCGGGGGCTCGAGGGCCCCGGGCCGCGTGGAGCGCGCGTGCGTGTTAAGCGCCAGCGGCCGCGCCGGGCCGGGCCGGCGCGCGGGAGACTTGAGGCGCGTGGGGCGCGCGTGCGTACTGCACCCGGGTCCCCACGAGCTGCAGCTGCGGCGGGGCCGACCGCCCTGCAGGGGAGGCCGCGCCCGGCCGTGCGGAAGCCCCCAGCTCAGCGCGCCGGGCCACCCAGGAGCCCCTGGCCGCCGCGTCATGCGGCGGGGCGGCCGGCGTCGCGCGAGGGGACCCGGGCTTGGCGTCGCGCCGCTCCCGCCTTTACGCGTTCGGGGCGCCCTCCTCGCCCGGGAAGAAATTAAAGCCGTTTAAAGCAACGCAGCACCACACCAAATACTCGTCGAACCAAATTCCGCTCCTCCCGCCGACGCTGGGATTGCACGGCGGACTCGTGGGGGGCTCCCCTCGGCGCGCGGGAAGCCCGGTCCCAGCTGCTGCAGGGAGTCCTCTGACCTCCCTGCCCCCGCTCGCCCCTCGCGTGTCGGGACTTGTTCCGGCGCTCCCGCTCCGCCGGGCGCGCAGCCCTCGCGTCCTCCGGGCGGAATCTGGCCCCTCCGGATCGTGCCATTTCATGCGCGCAGCGTCGGGGTGGCCGCGCGCGGGTCGGACGCGGCGAGGCCGGGCGGGCCGCGCGTCTCCGGTGCCGGCTGCGGGATCGCGGGCCCGGTCGATGCGCTTTTCTGAGTGAGTCGGCGGCTCCCCCACCCACCTCGCCGGCGCGCCTCGCCTCCTCTTCCTCTCGGGTCTCCTCCCCGCCCCCGGGCCGGCTCGCCAATGGCTTCGTTCCCCGAGACCGACTTCCAGATCTGCCTGCTGTGCAAGGAGATGTGCGGCTCGCCGGCGCCGCTCTCCTCCAACTCGTCGGCCTCGTCCTCGTCCTCGCAGACGTCCACGTCGTCGGGGGCGGCGGCGGGGGCCGGGCGCCGGGGCGCGCCGCCTGCACGTCCTGCCCTGCCTGCACGCCTTCTGCCGGCCCTGCCTCGAGGCGCACCGGCTGCCGGCCGCGGGCGGCGGCGCGCCCGGAGAGCCGCTCAAGCTGCGCTGCCCCGTCTGCGACCAGAAAGTCGTGCTGGCCGAGGCGGCGGGGATGGACGCGCTGCCCTCGTCCGCCTTCCTGCTCAGCAACCTGCTGGACGCCGTCGTGGCCACGGCCGACGAGCCGCCGCCCAAGAACGGCCGTGCCGGCGCCCCAGCCGGCGCGGGCGGCCACAGCAACCACCGGCACCACGCGCACCACGCGCACCCGCGAGCGCCCGCCTCGGCCCCGCCGCTCCCGCAGGCGCCGCCGGCGCCCGCGCCCTCCCGCCCCGCGCCCGGCGGCCCGGCGGCCTCCCCGTCCGCGCTGCTGCTGCGCCGGCCGCACGGCTGCAGCTCCTGCGACGAAGGCAACGCCGCCTCGTCCCGCTGCCTCGACTGCCAGGAGCACCTGTGCGACAACTGCGTCCGCGCGCACCAGCGCGTGCGCCTCACCAAGGACCACTACATCGAGCGCGGCCCGCCGGCTCCCCCGGCCGCCGCCGCCGCGCAGCAGCTCGGGCTCGGGCCTCCCTTCCCCGGCGCGCCCTTCTCCATCCTCTCGGTGTTCCCCGAGCGCCTCGGCTTCTGCCAGCACCACGACGACGAGGTGAGTGGCCGCTCGGCTCCCGGGCGCCGGCGCCGGGCGGGGTGGGCGGGAGCCGGGGCCCGGGAGCCGCGCGCGCTCGCTCGCGCGGAATCGCCCACGTCCCGGGGCCAGCGCGGGGCGGCCTCTCCGGGTTTCTGGTGTCCCCTTTGGGCACGTGACGGTGGGCAGAGGTAGCCCAGGTGAATCGCCTGGGAGGGGCGTGTGGGGAGGGCCTGGTTTCAGGGGGAAGGCTGAGAGGGGCCCCCAAAGGGTCGCAGAGGGGCCCCCCTTTTTTTTTCGTTTGTAGTTGACTGGTGGCAAAATGTGGCAATTGTGGTCTCCAGTTAGAGATTGGGGAAGAGATGGATGGTGTGACCGTAGACCTGGTCTCGGCCTGCGAGTCCCCCTGCACCCCTCGCCGACGGCTCCCGAGGTTTGGGAACACCACTCCCCTCTCCCCCAAAGTTCTAAGCGGAGTTTTTCGTTTGTATTCTGTTTTTAAGACCCGCGAGGGCACGGGGTGTGGGTCAGTAGACGTTGTCTTCTGGGGCGGATACATTTCTCCTGTAGCTTAATTTTTTTTAATAATCTTTTCTTTTTGGGTAAAGCTTGGAGATTGTTGCGTTTAGCTGGGGCGCGAGGCAGGAGGGGGTGGCTGTGTGGAGTGGGGGTACTGGTGCCCACGTGCACGCTCGTGGAGGGGGGCTGTCGGCTTTCTTGGGGCACTGGCAGTCCTTGACTCCTTGTGCGCCTCTTTGAGGGCCAGGAAACCCCTGTCCAATTCTTTGCGGCTCCGTGGTTGTTTTACTCGCCCTGTGTAAAAAGTGTTGGCTCTCTGAGAGGCTCCCCGAGGTGCAATTTGTACCTTCGGCTTCGTGGACCCACGGCTGCGCCCCGAAAAGCGGGCTCGGGGGCCTTGTCCATAGCTTCATAAGCCCGCGCCCGCCTGCCGCGGCCCGGGTTCCCTTAGGGAACCGGTTTCCCTGGTTGGGAGGTGTCCCCACCCGGTTCACCCGGGGCTCGACTTGGAAGAATCCCAGCCCCTGCTGCGCGCCGCTCCAGCTCGGGAGTGCGCTCAGGGCTTCGTCTCGTTCTTCAGCCAGAAACTTTGCTTAGCTTATTTTTTCCCCCACAAACTGAGGCACCTTCCACTCACCCGAACCCTTTAGATAGAGAAAGCGGTCCGAAAATTTGAGGGCCAGGTTCTGCTAGGGGTGGAGGTGGGCGAGTGTATGACACCCGCGCACTGGGTGCTTGTCATCGCTGTGGCCCTGCCTTAGCGGGAGGAGAGGACCGGCCTTTAAAAAAGAGTGGGCATGCGGGGTACCCAGCGCGCCAGAGGCTTGCACATTGCACAGCGCACCTTTACCCATCTCCTAACCTGTTATTTGGGGGGAAGAGGGCGGAGCTATAGTCTGACGGCCGTAACCCGGCCCTCCTATTGGAAAAAAGTTGAAATTCTAATCTTGTGGACGCCTTACATTATTTCTAGGTATGAAGCTAGGGGGCAGTTATACTTTTCCTTAGTTTTAAAGCTTTGAATGGGCTCCGCTTAAAAAGTGTTTCTGCATCCATCGGTGAATGTCTCTGTCGTGTTCTCTCTTCAACTTTAGAAAAATGAATGAATGAAACGAAGTAACAGCCTGAATCGCAGAAATGAAAGATGGAGCCAATTCACTTGAAAATTAGGGTCAGATGGGGGGGTGGGTTTGAGAGGGAGAGGGTGCCTTGAATTCTCTACAATTTCCCTCCTGGGAGGGAGTTCGATTGAGCCCTCCCTCCCTGCAGTTGAGCTTAAATGTCAGGTTTTATTTATATTCCCAGTTAAAGACCCACATACATTTTATTTGGGCTCAAACAGTAGACGCTCAGTGTTGCCAGACTTGTAAAAGGTTTATGCACTTTTTAAATTATAAGACCATTCAAACGGTGTGGGAGAATGTAAAGTGGGAAGTGAAGCTCCCCTCACACTGGGAGGTACTGGGATGCCCTGAATTTTTTTTAAACTTTCAACAGGGGTTGCTTAACATGGGTTGAAGTTGATTGGAAAAAGATAGCATTGTCAACTTTAAAACATCAGGTTTCCTCGGTTTAAGCAAAATTCAATTTGCCCTTTTTAGTTTTTCATTTCGAGGAAGAAAACCTGAAAATTAAATTCAGATCTTGCTGGATTTAGAGGGCCAGAATATTTGAGCTTAAAGGTGACAGTTTAAAGACCTGTACTTGGAGGAGAGAACTAAATTGTCACGAAGCAAAGCACAGGGTCGTTCTGGGATGTCCATCTGTGGTCTAAATTCGTCCTTTTTCCTTGCAAGGAAGTGATCTTTCATTGTTTTGGAATATTCCTTTTAAAGGCCATGCTTCTAGCTGGAAAAGGAGCATGAAAGCACTTTATAGTTTGACTGACAGAATGCGTTAAACCTAAGCATTGTGCACAGACTACCTCAGTTTTTAAAAAGTGCTACTTCACTGAGTTGCCTCCCAGTCAACAGACTCCATTAAATAATTCAAGGCACCCTTGCCTTAAGGTGACTGGTGCCACCTGACCTCTGGAAAGCAGGAGGCCTTTAAGGGAGGGGCCTCCGAGAATTGGCCACCCAGGGGGGTTGTGGGAGGCAGCCACCAGGGCCCATTCCCCCAAAAATGTTTTCCTTAAGCACCCTAATAACCCCCCGAGAGCACCTCGGCCAAGATGGTGTTTCTTAGCATCGGGTTTAAAACTTGATTTAGAAACTTCACAAGGAAGGAGTTGAGTTTTCCAATGCAGTACTAAGAATCGATTGCCCTCCACTCCCTTACTGGCTCATTTTAAAAAAAGTTTGTCCCCCTGCCCCTGGCTAGTTTTGTTCCTTAATGGTCAGTTTGAAAAGCCGGTAGGCACCAAGGCAAGGCCGGTAATTGGGGACCCTTATCCGGAGAATCGCTGGCCTCTGGCCTGGTCAGTGCTGCGTCCGCGGGAGCAGCAAGGCAGAGCCGCTGTGGGCTTTCTCCCGGCTTAGCCCCGAGCCCTCTGGTCTCTAGAAACTATTCTCTCCCAGAGAACACTTACCTCTCCGGCACCGGAGGCCCAGCTTGCACACGTTTTGGGGCAGCAGTTGAAAGGAGTTGCATGACTTGACCACACTGCTCCAGCCTTTCATGAGTTGTCCCATAATTTGTCGTGTTTGGCGCATAGGATGTGAGTCCTTTGCTGCCTTGAAGGGGACACTGGGAGCAGAAATTACAGGGTGTCCAGTGTGTGTTTTTGTGGCTCAGAGAACTTAGGTGTCAGAATTCTGTAAGGGATGGTATAGGAGTGGGGTGTGAACATGTTCAGGTCCCCTGGAATGGCCCTGTTGCTAGTATTGCTAGTGTAGGGTTTTAGGATGGTAATGGTGCTGTCCCCCCACCAGAGTGTCCCACCCCAGAGTGGCAATATTGTTGTTAGGCAAAGGTGGGGGGGGGCGGGCAGGAGTTTCCCAGTGTCCTGGATGGAAAATGAGGTGCAGGTGCTGATATAATTTATAATCAGCCCCTACATTGGGCTTAAAAACAAATCTCCCCCGAATGTTTAAGTTCTACAATTTTAACCAGCAGTGATCGTGAGTAATAAACCTAGATTTGGTGACTATTTTTCCCCAGGAAACACTCTAAAAATCACCTCAAACCAGAGTGAAGTTTGCTTCCTAAAATAATGGGTGGTGGATTGAGTTGATCACGAATCTTGTTTTGAATAGGTCACTCTAAATGGGGTTTGACACTTAATATATTTTATTCTATATTCCTAGAGTCTAACCTTTTACAGGTATGCATACATAATGCATGTTAGTTTTTAAATTACATGCATGTGCTGTCTAAAATATAAGTCAGTTGCAATTTTTTTTTTTTTGTAAGGACAAGAGAAAAAAATGAATCGAAATGGGCATTGTGGTATCTCCGCATCCCGTTGTTGATTTATAGGACTAGGGGTCTGTGTGTGTCTGCTCTGCATACATATCACCCCAAAGCCAAACTGTTTTTACTTTGGAAATAAGTGGAGTTTGCTGCTTTGAATCAGTTTAGCAGGTAGGTATTTATAGGTTGATGGGTGTGTTGATTTAAAACATGCTTGGTGAAAACATCTTGGGAAAGAAGTGGATTATTGATAATGTTTCCTTAACTTTTGAATGTAATCTGTGATTTTTTTCAAAAGGAATGTGCTCCTCCTCCACTAACGTGTATAGAGATGAATTTTATCAATATGGCTTCCAGGGAAGTGGGCAGTGGCTAGCTATTGAATAGTTTGTCAGGTCTTTGCTGATGAGGTTGCCTTGAAGGTATAACTAACCTCAAGCAAGTCTTTAAACATGCGAGGAATATTTGAAGCTATTCTGATGTCAGCTCTGTCTGGGGAACCTTTTGTGACTGACTTTCTTCCTAAAAAGAGTACAACACACCAGTTTGAGTTGCATAAATTTGCTTTTGGTCTACGGTATGTTTATTTCCAATGTGGGAACGTATATTTTGGAAAACAGTGAAGATAATTTAGGAGGAAAACAAGCACGTTTCTCTCAGACATAAGGTTTTCATTTGTATTATTATAAAATTTTTGATGATGATGGTGTTTTCAAATTAAGCAGTGCAGACAGCATAGTTAAATAGATACGGAATAAGAGTATTTTTGAACAGGAAGATTGAGAAAAAATTTCTTTCCCCAGCCCAGTCATCCTCCCCATTTTAGCTGTATTTATAATTACTTTTTTTTTTAAAGATAATTTCATGTTTAGGATGCTAAAACCAACTTAAAAAATATAGCTTATTTATTTAAGGCACTACTGAAAATGTGAACCTATTTAAGTAACATGTAAATTTTTTGAACCTAGCAGCTTGGCTCATTTTTTTATTTAAAATTTTGTATATTTAGAGGTAGTTTTGGGGGAATGAGGTGAAGTGGTTATAATACTTTTGTTGAAGGAGTTTGCCTGATTCAAGTGATAACTTACTTGGTAATTTCTCTACAGCTAAAATTTAAACCTTCCTCTGTTGCTAACTTAAATGTTGCA